CCATCTAAAATGAAAAAATGGTAACATAATTATTAAGTTACACCTATTAACTGGCAATTAGCACAGTCACACATCCGCACTCCAATATAAGATCGCATGATTCAGAGTATCTACAGCACCGGATGAACGTGACTTCAAATATTAGCGTGTAAAACACACCCAAAGCAAGGATCGCCTTGTGAGCACTTTTGAGTTTGAGTGTCATCCAGGAAAGAGCCCAACTCTAATTCAATATTATAAGCTTAGGGTTATATTTCTCGTTATTCGTTTCCAGTCGTATTGCCACCCTTTGCGCCAACCGGCGCTATGGGGATGGGTGAGCGATTCAGACGCATATAGCAGTGGCTTTATATGTCTTGTGTTTCAATAAAGAGGTGTTGAGGATATATTCTCGTTAGCTTTCGGATCTAGCTTAGTCTCTCACTTTTGCGTTGACAAACTCTTCTCCTTTCCGCTGCTGTTCTGCCATTATCTCAAACTGTCTCTCGATAGCTTTTTCGGCTATTTTCCTTCCCATGTCCTTCATATCCTTGGATCCTGCCAACCAGTGCTACCAAATTAATAGTAAAACAACGAAATTGTTAAGCCACACATTTTCCACTTCGTACCGAGATGGCTAAAAACTGCGTTATGTTGTAGCAGACTGTTGGATAAAATCACTATCAGTATTTTTTTTCAGTACAACTAAATTATTAAGAGCTCCGCCACTTTGTCAGCTCTGTCAACTCGAAAGTCATAACCGTTATTCATCTGTCTATTTATTTATTCATTTATTTATTTCTTGAAACATAAGCAGGCGAATATTAACGTTAAAAGCCGACGTTTCGGCGTCATCGTGACACCATTCTCAAGGCAAAGTGAATAAATAATGCGAAGATTTGATTTCTGTATAGTCTCTACAAATTAGCATAATAACAAAGGATCACAAGTTCTATCTCCTTAATTTATTTATTTATTTATTTATTCACTGAGGTATTATTTGTTATCCAGTCAATGCAGAATAAGAGAAGTGCCTAAGTGTGCGCGTGCGAGAGAGCCTGTGTGGGTGTTGTCTACGCGCGTGCAAGAAAACGTGTGCGTGCGACTAAGCGTGCGCGAGCGAGACTAAGAGTGCGCGCGCGACTAAGCATGTGCCCGTGCGAGTAAGCGTGCGCGCGTGCAAGTAGTCGAAACAGCAAGGAGAATAATTGTTTTGAGGTTCGAAGAAAAAGTTAACATTATTATACTATACTTCTTCAGCAGATTCATCTTCATCGCCTGAACCTGATTCTTCCCCTTCCTCTTCTTCTTCTTCATCGCTTCTCACTACCAAACTTGCACAAACACACAAGTACAAAACTATAATTAGCTTGTACTTCATGACGCTCACTCCTGATAGAAGAAAACCGAAACAAAATTAGACTGGTTGTTTGCATTAAGGTGGTTTTCATTTCGAGCTAAATAATTAGAATTATTATATATCATCACTATGCTTAGTTCTACTCGTGCCAGTTAGTCAATAAATCGAAATTTCAAAGGCTGAAACCAATTTTGACTGGTTCACACTCGGGTTTCCCGCGCTTCATGTCGGCCACACGTATTTGCTTCAAGTTTTGATCAGTTAACTGAGTTGTCGGGGTTCCATGTTTGATGAGAGTGATAACTCTGGCTTTGACCATTCTATTCTCGATTGAGAAGGTTTTCAAACGCTATTAACTGGTTATCTGTTGGTTACAATTCCGTAGTTATTTCATCACGTAAAATTTGATGGAGTTACATTTGATAGGGTGAGCATATTTGCTGAGAAGGAAATTTATATATTTATTCCACAAACTGGCAAAACCGATTATAAATGTGGCTACAGCTTTATAAGTTAGCGCTAGTTATCTACTCTCTAATATCCAATGTCTAGTATCTAATATCTTCTACCACCGCTAGTATCATGTTTCGTAATATCATGTTTGTGTTCCATATATCCCAAAAGGTTGAAAGCAAAATGTATCCCTTTGTTTCGCATAGTGTTTAAGAGACATCGTTGTCTAACTTAAAGCTGTTTCAGCCCTGTTTGACGTAAATCAGCCCGGTAAATCAACTGCATTTTGGAAATATAAGAGATTTCACGATATGCCGCAGTGAAAAAAGAAGACATAAAAAAACATGCCATTTAAACTGCTGGAATGGAAACGAATACTCCAACTCAGAAACTGTGTTATAGGTATGTTTCAAAGGATGAAGTTAAAATTGTCATCATACAAACCTTAGTGAATACAAAGAGTTTGGCGGCTGGCAATGCATTTGGCAAACTTATTATTTCGGATGATCAAAGTATTATTGCTCTTACCTTTCTGTGGACGCGCTTTCTCTGCAAACCTTTGGTTTCAGCTGATCAATACTGGCTCAACATATGAACATTTACTGCAACGCTGTCATGAGAAAATTCTTTTTCGAACAGAGACATTTCCATGGTTACCAAAGAGAATACAATCACCATGTATGGCAATTTTGCAATCACACGTACTGCTCGCTAGAATCTGCCAATTAAACTTGTATTATAAAATGAGGGTTTATAATTTTCATTTCAAGACAAAACTACAATCCTGGCAATTTTGTATTGAAGAAAAGGTTTTCTTTGCATTCACTGTCTTTTTCATATGTCACGGAACGTCTGTTTTCCACACAAGTCACTTGCCTTATGAGAACTAGTAAGCAACAGCAAAGAAAAGCATTTCTCGGTCGAAAAATTGCTCTGTTTTCCATTGTGCGCGCAAAACGTGAGGATAGATTATTTCGCAACAGGAGATATATTTGTGGAGTAGCTTAAAGGCAGGTGAATTAATCATAAGCGGCAATTGGAAAACGTGAAGGGTGTAACAATGCGCATAAAATTTAATTAATCATGGTTGGTCACTACTCGCACAGCCAAAAACTAAAGGTGCAAGAATTCTTTTACCGTTTTGATTTCACCATGCAGTTATCGATGTAAAAAAAAAAAATAGTAAGAAACGTTCTTAGAGACTACAGTTTGACGCGAAATATTCGAGGACTATACCGAGATCGTGACATGCATTGCTAGGAAGCCGCTCTCCAGACTTGTGGCACCACTCAGGGACAATGAAGGGAGTTAAATCGACGAAGTAAAATTAAACGAAGGTGTTTCAAGAAGCCAAAACATAACGAAGGGTGTTGAATTTAGCAATTATCAGTTCAGTTCAGTCGTCAAAGCAACGGAAAAAACCAGATCCGCCTTTTCACCTCTCTGAAAAAGGTTAAGCAAAGAAGAAGAGAATAAATTCCTTATCCAAGGCTTAAGAAAAGCAAGCAGCTTAAGAAAAGCAAACAGGTCCGTCACCATAACTAGACAAGAGCATTCCAGCATGAGATCTGAGATCGTCTTTTTGTATCGTGCTTGTCTTTTTAGTTTCATCATTATCGTGTCGTTTTTACGCTGTTATATAACTCCATAAAATTAAGCGAATTAATCAAAAGTCTAACAAATAATATATTTTTTTGGTTGTATTGGTATATTCAATTTTCCCTTGCTTGACATTGCGTGTGAGAACTGAACGAAGGGTGTAAAGAATTAACTTTGGGGCGGAAAACTGCTCAAAGGCATAGACCTAGCTGCGCCGAAGAAAAGTGGCTTTGCCTTTATAATTTACAAGAATCGTGATCCAGCGGAATAATTATTTGGTAATAAGTATTAATGATTTCATTACCAAGTAGGAAGGCAAGAAAATGTGCGTGTTAGGTAATAACAACTAGTTTTACACGGTCTGTAGAGAGCGGTATATTTATTAGAAAAAGGCATTTCAATTCTGAGCTCAAATCTGTTTATTTCTCCAATTTTCTCTTCACTCTACCTAGTGTTACGTTCTTCGTTCTGTTCGATGTGATTTCAAACTAAATCCTGACGCATATGGATGGCCATCTAGTGGCAATTTTGAATTATTTAAAAAGCTAATAAAAATAATTGTCCATAAATAACAACTACGGAATATAGCAAGTGTCGATACAAATTTGGTCAAATTGTATTTGAAAAGGAAAAGAAAGAAACCCCAATAGTTAAGAAATCCATAAATAATGGTTTTTGGATATTCATTATATGTTCATTACCATGGACACCTTTTCGTTTCTTTAGGCATCTAAGTGAATTTGTTAAAATACTATAGTTTTAGTTTTAAATTGTATCTAACAAGGTGCATCAAAAGCAAACGCATCACGATTTCAAGGAAAAAAGGTGAGAGAGAAAGCTAGAGCAAATGTTTGACGTACAGGTTGTGTAATTTGAATCAAAGATAAAACACCGAGTTAAGTGGCGCGAAGTTGCTGACATGAAATCTAAAGTTCAGTTCTTCAGTTGAAAGATCCTCACTCACTGATTTTCTATCGTTCTATTAGTTACAGATGGTTCATTTATGTAGGAACAAGATCACCTATGTTTAGAATTTACAGCGCCGAAAATATTAAGAACACAAATTGGAGATCCCTAGCTTTAAAAGAAATTGTTATTTAACTTATCTTTTAGGTACTACCCGGCAGCCGTATTTTTCGGTTGCCTATTAGTGTAGAGGAAAAATATGTTTCTAACATGGAAAATGTCACGGTTATTGCTTACAAGATTTCGAATTAAGGAAAAAATGACCAATATTTCTGATGATTAAAACTGACAAGTCAGGTAGAAAATTTAAGTAAAAGACAGCGGCAAGGGATTCGAGAATTTCGCTGAAGAGAAGGTTTCAATAAGCTGAGTGCAGTGGTTATGGAATTTCGTTTAATGTATCTCGTTACATCTCACGCTCTGCTAGATACCAGCGTGGCATGGCCAATTTCTGAGGTCAAATGGCAACAGCAGCAGAAAACGACACCTTTTCTCAGGTCTCCACTTGGAATAAAACACTTCCTTTATTTACCTTGCAGAATGATTTGCTCTGATACAGACAGACAAGTCAAAATTTAACAATTTAGCAACCACACTCTATGCTATATTTCATTCCACAAAAGGGCAAGAATGACACGTTAATTTTTCACTTTTTAAACGTCCTTTGATATTACATTAAATAACTTCAGTTTGATTTGCTTTTATTTTTAAGGCATTCGGACAGGATGAAACGATTGAAGATAGCCGCTGTCTTCATTGTTGCCTTTCTTCTGATGCTCGAACAGAATTTTGGTGCTAAGATCCAAAACAGGGATGACTCTGATGGCCAAGAATATGGATCATCAAAACTAAGGAGGGTTAAAAGAGGTGCTGCGGTAGGTCATTTTTCGGACTCCTAAATTGCCATTTCAAGATTGAGCCTGATAGCTACATTGTAAATATTACTGTGCGATGTTAGTTTTACCTCATTTCTGGTCGTTGGTGTGCTTTTCTATTTTTAATTGCGAGCAGACATTTCTTGCCCCTAAACCTCGCCGGGGGATAACGTAAGCGGAGGAAACGGGTTGGCAGAATCACCCTTTTATTACGTTAAATAGTTTTCAAGTTCAGTGTAGGTGTTCCACGCAACTCTTTTACTTGGACAAAATAAGATATAATTATTATTCAGATTTGATTGGGAGATGCTTTGAGAATGGTTTTCACTTTATTGTCAAAAGTAGTTTCCATTTCCTTTAGTTTTGCATTACCATGCTAAGCAATCGGCTCAAAAAAACTCGGGCCACTTTGTTATCCTCGCTCGCACTCGCTCGCACTCGCTCGCACTCGCATTCGCACTCGCTCGCACACGTTTTCCCGCGCTACACGTCAGCTACAAGTATTTATATCGAGTTTTGGTTGGTTCACTGGACCTCGGCCTTCGTGATTAGCCACAGTGATTTTGGCTTTGTTTGTACAACATTAAATTAAAACCTCATGTAGGTTAATGCAGTGATTATATACTATATAGAGCTATTCATTAAAATAGTGAAAATTGAAATCCATAATTTTATATATTATAATTATGGTTGACATAACAATGGGCTAACAAACCAAACAATAACAAAGAAAAGAAACGGCGCCTCAGAAAATTATTAAATCTAACCGAGAAATTATCATCTTTGTTATTAATTAGTTTGTAGTCTTGATCCAAAGGTGGTGCAGGAACGCTCAGGCTGGAGGAGCTGTAACGTATAGGCCGTTTGCGTCATATTAAAAGCCCTGTGGTGACCGGTGCAAGCCATGACATAAACACTCTCCTTTATTAATTAACACCTTACGTGTATTTCCCTTCGTTTAGGCGGCGGCAATGGCAAAGGAAGTCGGGCAGAAAGCGGTACAAAAGCAGTTTGAAATTATGGAACAGCAGCAAAACAAAGCGCAAGAATTCATTGATCAAAAGGTGAAATCTCAGTTGGTAAATTCATTCTGGCTCTTTATATTTTCCCCTTTCACCTTCCTCCAAATCAAATGACATCAAATCAAAACAAATTTACTTACAATTCAACCCATCTCAGTCAACTACTGATTACACAGATTACAATACATAATTTGCTCTTTTTAACCGAGTTAGAGGTCTGAATTGGAGAATCTTGACCGAGGTCTGTACACACGACCAAGGTCGAGATTCTCCCATACAGGCCGACTACACTGAGCTTGGTTAATAAGATGTTTATTATCTGGCAAACAAGAAAAATTTAATTCGTAACTGGTTTGTACTAGCCGACATTTTGCTTGTGAACGGCGATGAGCTGAACTTCATTCCGCCAAAGTCTGCTCGTCCTCTTAACTTTTCTTTTCTCATTAGGCTTTCTGGCACTTAGCTTCCATAAAAAATAATGTTAGAAGAAAATAGTCAATATTTTTGCCTTTTAGTTTACAACTTTTTCACCGCAAAACATTAGATGCCGGTCTAGATGGAAAAATCTAGACCGCTTTCAATATCGATTTCAGCCAATCAAATTCGTGAATTCGGTATTTGACAGTCCTGGTGAAACACAGCAATATAATAAAGATAAATATAGATAAATCATCACATTAAAAAAAATAAAGAATAAGTATAAAAAGTGCGGGTCTTGATTGTCAAAAAGCTGAAGGACGTAATTTACATTCTAATTTGAAACTGTTAGCTGGAAGTTAACGTCGAACCAGAGAAAGGATGGAAGACAGAAGATTTGCTTGTTCCAGCGGGTTTCCACATCGACGCAGAGTTGACTGGAGAAGATGAAAAATCTGAGGGGGAGACTGGTGAACAGCCATATGTATATCCAATGGGGGTCGGTGGCCTATTGATGAATGGTTGCTTTGGAACAAACTACCAACCGGGAGACCCCTGCTACGAAGCGCGTTGGAAAACCACTCTTTGTTTGGTAAGGCAAGCTGACATTACTTGATGAAGTGCGATCAAACGATTGCCAAAAACGGCATAAATATAAGAACAATTACACATCAAAGTAAAAAAAGTCCTATATTTGTGTTGGTTTACTTCAGACGTTTCGTAATTTGGCATAAGGGGTGGAGGGAGGGGTAGGCGCTTCCTTGGTGTCTCACCTAGGTCCCCTTGTGTTGTTTGTTTATAAATCAAAAGTTTGTCTTTCTTGTTTCATTACAAGAGCTTAATCGACGGTGCAGCCTTTATCGGAGTTGGGTTTGATCTCCGAGGTGATTATAGCCCGGAGTCACGAAAGATGAGTATTATTCAGAGAGACTGTTCAGGAAGAGCCACGTAAGTACACAACCACATCGATCTTTGAGGATTAATAAATTACGGAGATGTGAAAATGTCTCTTTGTATTTGAATGTTTATTATATTTTTAAAATTGGTAATTCTAAATTGTACTAATGTGCTCAAGATTCCGTATCAGTCGAACACCATGCTAAAGCGAAGATGCCGTTACAGTTGACGCATTCTGGACAAGTCTAGGATAATGATTAAAATATCGTAAAATATCATTCTCCTTTAACTACTGAGAACACTCCCAGCCTGGAAGTAGCCAAGCTTCTTTGTTTGAGATTTCAACCATATCATAAGAAGGTGTTAAACTTCAGCATCATATCAGCAGGAACCGAACGTGACTACTTGAAACTGACTTTCTGCCCTTAATTTATAGCGTGCAAGAATGGGGCAGGGTAAAGGTGTTTTTCGTGATAACCTAGAAAAATAGAATCAGCCCAATGAGGAGAAAATAAGAAGGTTCTGCTCCCTTTATTGCAACTGATTGATAGAACTTATTACAATATTGACACGCTTCTCTCATCTTTATTCAACTTTGCATTTCTTAGGTATGACGATTTTGATGTTCCTGACACGATGAATGTCCATGGTGTATACGACACCAGCGCTACAATGTTGACATATTACAGTCGAGAAGAGTATCAGCAATCTCTACAACAACAAGCAGGAGTGTCTGGATCAATCTTTGGCTTCTACGCTGGTGTGAAAAAAGCCTGGGGAAGTTCATTTCTCAGTGGCTCACAGAAATACATGGCAGTTTATTCGATCGACATCGATAGGTAGCTAAATATCCGTTTAAATTAATCTCCTGTGTTCATTATAATAAGCTACAACAGTCATCAGATTTATTTCATGGGTTTTGGCGTTCTCGTGCAAGCGCCATTTCTGGAAAAGGGAGAGAGAGCTCCCATGAATATGTGTTGAAAATTCAGATGGTTGAATCACACAGGGAGTTCAGAACGTCCTTTCAAAAGTGAGTTAAATACGAAGAATAAATGTTCCTACAGGATAAGATTGATCGCGTATTGTAGAAAATGCATTGAAAATTCATTAGTTTAAATTAAGGAAATAATAAGCTAACGGTGTTTGGATATCTGATGTAAACAGCCATTGATTTTTCCATTCTATTTCTTGGTTTTCCCCTTAGTTCTAGTTTAGTTTGAGAAGATGTATCAAATACTCTCACCACGTTTTGATCCTTCGAAGTTCGTCAAAAAATACTCCACTGCGCGACGTATTTTTAACTCCCTCATCAGTGTTTGGAAATGCGATGAGACACTGTCTCTCGTTTTTGATATATTACATCAATGTGAGTCAAGAGAGACGCACGCCATGCCTGTATACTGGGATTGAATTTGACAAAGTCCCTTTACAATGGGAATACCCTTGCCTCCTGCAGACCGTGCGTTTACTCTCACGTTTCGATGGAGTTTGAAAGATACAAGCCAATCTATGGGTTCTTTCTGATTGGCACTGATGAACAAATTTCATTTGAAAAAGGCATAGACGATTTACACTAACAGCAATCCCGACATTTTCTAGGTATGAAATTTACCAAGATGAGGTCAAACCAGGGGGCCTCAATCTAAACTTTCTCAGAGAGTTTATGGATCTCCCACATTCATATTTAGCGCCCGGTGCAGCCATGAAATTTCGTAAGTTTTTTGTTTGTAATAAGAAATTTACTGACCTATGCCATAACTAATAAGGCTTTAAAATGAAACTAATACTTGCCGTTTAACTCTTAGCTATTGCTAAATAAAATGTACTGTAGAATGTGTTGTAAGCCCGTATTTTAATTGCTCCTGTTCTCAAGCCCAAATTTTTAGATTTAAAATCATATTAAAAGACTAAGTGATGCTATTATCCAAATTATTTCAAGTACTAAAATTGAAGCAGCATGCACCTTAGTTGGTTTTAACATATATTTTAGTGATACTTTGACATTGGTTTCATGTTTGAATTTCTGGTATACATTTTTCGAAAAATATTTAATAATATTAATGATACAATGTAATGCTATTGAAGTGTTGGAACTCTAGTCTACAATTTCGTTCTGCAGAGGACTTTATCCTTCGCTGGGGAACACATTACATCAAATCAGGAAAATTTGGCGGCCGCATGCAGATTTTCAAAACAATGGAAGCCAGCGAAGTTGCCAGTAAGGAAGAGTTTAGTCAAGTCATGGAATTTGAATATAGGAATTTGTTTATGAGCATCAATAATAGACAAGAAAAATCGGAAGAAAGCAGCGAAAAGACTCAGAGTAAAACGTCATCTACTTCCTTTACTGTAGAAGGAGGGGACCAAGAGATAGCTTCGCTTATTTCTGATTTTAACTCGCCAACTATTAAGGCTGACATCGTGCAGTGGCTTGAATCCATTCGCACTTTTCCAAAGCCATTCAAGTTCGTTCTTGCGCCAATCACGGACTTGCTGAAGTTCAGTGCCCACGCCCTATTTCCCGATGAAGAGACAGACTGGGGCTGTGAAGCACATAGTAGGAACTTAAAGTTAGACCCAGACAGCGGGGAAGCTTACTACGAGATTACAATCAATGGAACCAAGACCAAGAAATACTGCGAGTACATGAATCGTGATGAACTCATGACTTCAATAGAAAAGAGGAGAGGAAGTTTAGAGAAAGCCATTCGTGTTTACATGGAAGAGGTAATGGGAACTTGACGGGCCCTTTCAAGATCCCTATCAGAGGCCTTTTTTAGGCAAAACGTAACAACGTTCAACAAAATGAATGCATGCCATTAACAGAAAGAGGGTGATAAAATAAGTTCCATTGACAATTTCAAGTGCTAGTTTTTCTGGTGCTGTCGAACCCATCCTTACGGGCACCTCCATGATACAGAGACCTCCATATCACTCTTAGCTCACTTGTTCCCAGAGAAACTAGAATAACTATTTTCTCTACCGCTTTAAGTCAGACACTTGGCTCTGGCCCTTTCTAAGTTAACATTGACGATTGTGATAAAGATCCACAAGAACAGTGTCATTAATACTTATTTCTTGAGAACAATTTGACCTGATTTCCTAACCGCCTTGGTCTGTAGTCAATTTAGCCTGCATGATTGTCGGGGAGGGATGCATGTACGTTGTATAAGAAATTAAAGTTCTCAAGGAGAGAATCAAACATTTTTTTTGGATTTTTCGGCCTTGCAATTGGTCGGTCCATATTAGAAAAATGTTGTCCGAGGTCTTGAGTACGGACCGAGGCAATCAGGCAATTATAGGTCAAATTGTTCACAAGAAATAAGTCTTAATATTGGCATAGTTCTTGTAGATCTTAATCACAATCGTTTATGTTAACTTATTAACTTCCAATGTACTTTGTTGGCTTCCAGGGCCCGATATCTGTCTCTGAAATTAACTTGCCCGCTGGAAGTCCAGGATGCCAGACGGACAACTTCAAATACCAGCAATCAGCTGGAAAACTTTCTTGGAAAGACATGACGGAAGATGGGAAAGTTTTTCTTGTTATCTTCGACATGAAAGAAGATCTTACTGGGACTTTCAATGGTGCCAGAAAGATAACGGCTCAGATGGAAGTATATGTGAAGTACTTTTATGGAACATGGTTTACAGGAAGCTCCTATGATGACTTTGATGTGTCAACAGCCTGCCGTAAAGGTGAGGGTAGCAAACGGAACGTCTGTATCTTGGGCATGGTTTTGACGTACGATCCAGAAAGTGGATTTCTCAGCATGGCTAAAGATGACTTGGCAGTTTCCAAGGAAGCTTATCCAGATCTGACCATGGACGAGGATGAGTCTGACTTGCTAGTGGCACATGCGGAATGGCCAGAAAGTCGTGTTTTTGAAGTAGATGAAGTGATTGGTTACCTTCCATGTAATGTAAAATGGTCCAACGCAATGCGTTTTGACCCAACAAGTGATGTGGAAGGGAAGTGCATTCAATTTACCGCCTCCTCGAAGGGAACTGTCTTCGTAATCTTCTCAGTCATTCCAGATGACAAAGATACTTGGTACTATGTTCAGATTTCTCCTCATGGCGTTGGGATTTTCAAGGTATATTATTTCCAAACCGCTGGGAATGGGCTAAAGTTAAATTTTGAGAGATTAACTTGGGAATAGTGATTGTATGTGATTGTAAGCATCAGGCACTAAAGGAATAAGTTAATGTGCTATCCTTTTTAATCTGCTGTCCATGAATTATATTTTGTAGAGGCCAGAAGTTCATTAGTTTTAATTTATAAGAGCTTAAAAAGCGTCACCCTCATTTAATAAAGTTTGATTGATTGATTGATTGATTGACTGACTGACTGACTGGCTGACTGACTGTTGATTGATTGATTGATTGATTGATTGACTGATTGATGCAGGCTCAGAAGTTAGTGGTTTCAACAGTCGATGTCGGGGCAGTTGGACTGGGCTCCACTATTCTGTACCAGACCTATTTCGTATGTTTGAAAGAAACTTCCCACCGCACTGTGATAGAATATGGGAAAGGCAGAGGATCCGCTGAAGGCGGCGACGTCTTCCTTACCATGATCGATGAAGAACACCCTCTCTTTGTGCGATTTTATTCCTTTGGTAACGGCGAGGATCCTCTCGACATAGTGGACGCTCATATTGTTCTTAGAAGTCTGCTGAAAGCGACCTGCAGAGGGGACACATCTTTGGATGTCGTAAGCAACATGTGCTTACAGAGCTGTCACGAGTTCTGTGATCCAGATCGAGGTTTGTTCGCAGTTGAGCTTTTAATAACATACTTACAAGAGTAGCGATACTTCTTGTTGCATTCTTACTACAGAACTCATGATAACCCCTGGTTATCTAGAAGCCGCTTAGGATTTATGTTGCAGGGATAGTAGGCAAGTCGGTGTACACGAAGCGGATATTGGGTCATTTCTATGATGAAGCAGGGACAGTTTGCAAGAGTAGGTCAAATTGTCCCTGCTTCATGATACACGAATTCAAACCAGCTGAATTTTATGCAACAGAACGTTTTCCCAGAAACTGGCATGTCACTCGACGAAAATTGTCGCTGCAACATACACCCTAAAGTAAATGCTAAAGTTCTAAATTAATTCTGGAATCTTGGTTTAAATTATAGATCAGCTGATTATATCAGGTACCAATTATACTTTTTGCGCTTGCGGTTGTAATATTTGTTACCGAGTAGTCAGAGCTCTGGACTTGAAATCCGGAAGTCGCGGATTCGAGTCACTCTCTGACTACTAACTTTTGTTATTCAGTACGAAACAAAGATTTACGGAAAATTGACTTTGTCATGCATCTCCCTAAAGTTGGTCATCCAATTTACACTATCAACTTAGATGTCGTTTAAGGTCGTTTAAGACCCTTTTCAGATTGGACATCTGCGCCATTCACGCGTCCACTACTGTGCATTTTATGTCCGGGCTCTTTCGCGCTGTTTCCCTACTGTTAGCAAAACGCTATTTCACTTTTAAATTAAAAGAATTTCTTCAAAGGCTTCAAATTCTGACTTTTGTCATGAATTTGTTTACCTAGAAGTTAGGCATTAAGTGCAATTCAGCGGGTGATCGAGTTCGTAATTGATGAAATTACTTGCCAGATTTATACCACAACCGTACTCCACTCATTTCCTTTACCATTATTTATCATTGAACAGGATGTCGAAGAACTTCTAGTAGCACACCATTAGCAACAGATTGCAACGCATGCCGGTATGTAAAGAACGCACAGACAGGCGAGTGTCTGAAGGAGTGTCCAGCGGAATGGGACCAAATTAAGGGCAATGAATGCTATCCTAAATTGACGAGTAAGTTGAGGAGTATAATTTACTGTTTAGCACTGATATATATTCATTTCCAGGAAACAGGCAGGACGACTCAACTCCGAGAGAGAGGGACTGATATTTTCACACTACCTAAAACATGTACGCCATAAAAGAATAGTGTCCTCAATGTCGAAATTTTTAACCTACGGTGGGTGGGTAAATGTCGATATTGCTCAGAGAGATGCAGGAAAAATAAACAGTAACCTGACCTCTCCTGCTTACATACCGCACAATGAAATTCCGGATGATTACCTTTCACCAACTGAAAAGAAAAAAAAACAAAAACAAAAATAGACGGATTCGGCTAACGTGTTTACATTCTTGTTGCCAACCAATTCAGATCATGTGATGATTCATTTGGGAGGTTTCAATTGTTCCATAATCCCATGCAATCTTTGATGTGTGAAAAATTGCACAATTGTAACCTCCCAAATGATTCATCACATGATCTGAATTGGGTGGCCACCAGAATGTAAACAGTTTAGCCGACTCCATCTATGGCACTTATAATACGCATGAAATAATTTATTCTCCTAGAGGGGGTGAATGAACTCATTAAGTAAAACAAGCAAAACAATGCGGAAATATTAAGTTCCAATAGGTCACTTTCGACATAATGAGGCCTAGGGGACACAAACAAAAAATGAATAAACATGTCATTCAATAGCTGGTTTTCACATGACGTCACTAAAATTCGAACTACAAAACTATTGATCTTCCTGAGATTTTACTTAAATAATGTATAAGAGCAGCCGAA